ATGCCCTAATTTTTGAGTGCTCGACTTTCCAAACTTAACATTCTTTTAACGTAGGCCTTTGTGTGGTAATACAATAAATGTACAAGAATGGCGTCATCTCTGGTGCATCATCTAGAGATTGTGACATCTTTAAGCCCTTACACAAGGGAGATCAGTTCCCTTTTGTTGATCTATCTCTACAGGATGCATGCTGTGGTCATTGACAACCCCGGAGCTGCATCCGATTATGGCAAGTTCAAAAGAATATGACAGCTGTCCCCGTTCTCCAATGCAAAGTTCAATATGAGAGAATGTATTTATATAGAACCCTTCATACAAACCACTCGTGAGAATTTGTGGAATATGTACAGTTGGAGGATTTGCTGACAGTTCTTGCCATAAGGGGGGAGGGATAGCTCAGTGGTTTGAGCATTGGCCTGCTAAACCCAGGGTTGTGAGTTCAATCCTTGAGGGGGCCACTTAGGGATCTGGGGCAAAATCAGTACTTGGTCCTGCTAGTGAAGGCAGGGGGCTGGACTCGATGACCTTTCAAGGTTCCTTCCAGTTCTAGGAGATAGGATATCTCCATTTATTTATTTATCTATTTATTTATTTATTTAATTTATAAGGCAAGAACTGGGAGTTCATAGTAGATCACAGTTGTATATAGAGAAAGATTCTGTTAGGATGAGGGATAAGACAGTACGTGGAGAATGCACATTGCGATACTTCCTGTACCTTTGTCTATTAAACCACGAGCCACAGAGACTGCCACACTCTGGCTTTTTTGACTACTTTAAAACTTTCTGATAAAATAAGAGTCCCTCCAAGATAGTAAACACAATTTGCTTTTTAAAAGCTCACAACAGCTAGCAGCTTTGACTCTTTACTAATTGGCAATGCAGAGTGATATCCAAGTCAAACACTTATTTTTTCTTCTTGCTTCGGAATATTTTTGTGTTAATTACTGCAATTTTATACAGTAAGTCTGAAAAATACGAGTTCACGTTCCTCGGAGGACTGGATCATCACAGAGAAGAAGAGTTTTTTAGAGTAAAACATGAAAGACAAAAAACAACCCTTGAAAGAGGAAGTAGAACAGGAAGATTTGGTTGTTTCTTCTAACTGTTTCTAGTAGAGCAAGAGGCACAAACATACAGTTGCTCCTAACAGATTTTGCTCTGCTCAGAACTTGGTTTTAGATAATGCAGTTTTCTAAGATCAGTTGTAAAATAAACTTTCTGACAAAGACCTTGACCAATATATATTTTTAAAAAATTATGTTAACAACAATGCAAAAGGAGACATATAGGCACAAGGGAAATTAAAAATGAAGGGGGGAATAGATAAGTAGGTAATTTTACCAGTGTGTCTAGTGTGCATCATCATGTTACTTCAGTTTTACATTGGTGAAACTCCATTCAACTCAATTGCATATAATGGTTCATATACACACGATCTTTACTGTGTGATATTGCTCTTAGTCAGAAAAATATTCAGAGTTTCTTCCATTTTCAAAATGAATTTCTGGGGAATGACAGCAAATATGGAATCAAATTAAGAAAAGCAGGGTAAGTAATTTCTCCTGTCATTCAGTTGTGCAGTTAGAGTAGGTGTCTGCATCCAGGGAGTTTTAAACACCACCAGCTTTTCAAAATAGCATTTCAAAGAACTGTGAGATTGTAAACATCTGTGAATGAGATATACAAAAGCAACCTCTCTAGCCATCTGTATGAGAAGTGTTTTGATAAACAGAGTACTGCAAAAGTACTAAATACTGGTGAGGTACACTAAATGTGCATCTATTTCTAACAGAATAAAATTTTCTTTTCATAAATGCCCCAAGTATCATAGAGGGGTTGTTTTATTAAATCTCTTTTAAAGTTCTGGACGCCAATTTAAGTGCCACTTTCCTTTTAAAATTCATTTCTTCTCGCCACTGCCCCTCTGATTTTTGTAAACAGGTCTAGCTAGGGGAAAATGTGATACAAGCAGCCGCAAAATAGTTAAGATCATCTTTAAGGAAGTCAGCAGCAAACAGACCTCCCTCCCTCCCTTGCCCAAGAAATCTAACTTCCTCTCCCAATAGTCTGTGGTGGCAGACTGAGCAGACCAGTGTGCTGTCACTATGGACTAATACACATAGAGAACAGCGCTCCTGTCCCTGGGAAAGCATGTCGGTAAAACGGTGTAGATTTAGTGAAATACCTGAAATAACAGTGAGACTAGTAGGAATGACGCATTGGGAGGTAAGAACTTAACCGTTATTTCACGCTGAAATCTGATGCTTAAGTATGCTACCCAGTGAATTGGTTGGTTCAACCATGCTGGTGGTTTTTTTTATGGAAGAAAAGTATTTCTATTTTCATGCTGTTGTTTGAAGGAAGCTTCAGTAATGTGTAGTGTAGAAAGAACATTTCATTTTAAGGTAATGCTTTGTGATGTGTTATTAACCCACCATATGAAAGTTGGCTTTTTGCTTACTAAAGGTGGTGCAGTATTTCCTGTGTCTAACTGAAATCATCTAGTTTTTTTTAAACGTTTTTTCTTTCTTTATAAAATCATAAAGGACGGTTAATGTCCCAGACCCCAAAATTACCAAATTGCAAAAACCTGTCTTTAAATACCAGCTGCACTCCCTGGGAAGTTATAAAGTTAATCTCTTTTAGCATTGCTAGGAGTGTTTAAATGTTCACAGAGGCATAGGGTCTGGGTGAGAGTAAGATCCTTCCCTCGGAGGTCTGAGTTCCTCAGAGTCTGACATTCAAGCAAACCTTTTGGTCTTGATTTGCTACCATCCTTACAGAGTATAAGTCCTGAGCCCCTTCCAAAGTGAACTCTGCTGGATTTGCACAGTTCAGCAGATTGTGAATGGGACATGGAGCCTTTCACCTGTAGGTCACAGGGTTCTAATCCAGTCTAGATGATTTAGGGGACTGCTGGCAGTTTCAGGTTTGTCTGCGCCAGATAAGATTGTCACATTTAATACTGCATCCTAAGTATTGTTCATTTCTGCGAATGTAATGCTGAGAGGGGCTCTGGGGCCAGTAACTGAGATAGTCAACTTTAGTTTAAAGGCCGTGTAGGGATGGACTCAGCTTTGGATTCATAGAGAGACAGACAGAAATGTTAAACTTGTTACTAATTATTTGCATGTGACATCAAAGGCTCAAAGTTTTCCTCATGGGGACTGCAGAACTTGTATTCACTGTCCTGGTATTAACTGCTTTGTTGCTGTTCCTCAGTCCTGCTGAGCAGCAGGAGGGATCTTTTGTTTGTTTATTTAGACCTCTATTGGAAAAGTGTTTAGCTCTAGGCATGTTACATATCATTAACAACCTATAAATCCACAGAAAACCTTCATCATTTCACTTTAGCCTCCATTATGACTTCTCTTACAAAAGCCATCATGGTCTCAATAATCCATTGCGATAGAAATGATTATCGTTGAGACGATAATGGGGTTGCATTGTGTAATCAGCAGTTAAATGTTTTGTGTGTGTATGTGCAGATACATATTCGTTGAACGGTTGAATGTTATTCACATTTGTATTTTGCATGTGCAACTCCCATGAAGGTGGCAGTGATGCAGGCCACATACTAGAGAGCTAAATTCCCTGTGTTTGATGTAAGTTATGACCCATATTTAACAGGACTTCCAAACATAGAAGGAAACCAACATATTGTCACTTCCTGTATTTTTTCATCATCTCAGTGTTTAGTCATGTGCTACTCAGGCTGTGAAAATGGGAATGTTTGTATTTTCTGTGACTTACTTTGAATCACACATTAAGCTTCCAGATTGGGAGGGAACTTCAAGCCTGCATATTTAAAACAGCGTAATCTTGCTGATACAACAATCTCTTTGTGGGAAGGAGGAGGGACCCTTCTGAAAATCAGAGCAGATGGGCCTGAAGGCTTTGCTAGTCAGCTTGCCAAAAGCGGCTGTGCTCTGGATTTCCAAAGCTGAGAGTAACCAGTGTGGCCTCTTTAAGATTTTATATAATGCGTTGATGCTAGTCTATGTATCTGACCAGTCTTATCTCCCCTGCTGTCGAGACATGGGGAGCTCAGAACCTAGGCTTTGCAAAGCAGCCATCATCTGCCTTTACTGGTCTCTGCAGTTAAGAAAGCCAGAGCACAGTGAACAAGCCAGTACTGGGTAACCTGGAGTCCCATTTAGCCATAGTTCAGTAAATCAACCTACTCTACTGTGCTATGGATAGAAAGTTTGTGAAAAATCCATATCTCCAAGGACCGTGTTTCCCAAACTTGGGACGCCACTTGTGTAGGGAAAGTCCCTGGTGGGCCAGGACGGTTTGTTTACCTGACGCATCCGCAGGTTCGGCCGATCGCGGCTCCCAGTGGCCGCGGTTCGCTGCTCCAGGCCAATGGGAGCTGCTGGAAGCGGCAGCCAGTACGTCCCTCGGCCCACGCCGCTTCCAGCAGCTCCCATTGGCCTGGAGCCGCGGCCAGTGGGAGCCGCAATCGGCCGGACCTGCGGATGCAGCAAGTAAACAAACCGGCCCGGCCCACCAGGGGCTTTCCCTACACAAGCAGCGTCCCAAGTATGGGAAACACTGTCCAAGGAGATTATTCACAGCTGATTGAATGAAACTGAAGAAGGCAGCTCAAACTAGTGAAGAGGAAAATAAGGAACAGAATTCTATCAGCCCACCCCGAAATAAAGGTCCGTCTTTCTCCTTTAAAATACACTTATAAAAATTAGTTTTTACATTGGCCGTAAAAATTAACTTCACATTGAAAGTTTGGCCTACACAAAACCTGTATTTTAGTTATGCTACAATCCGTTGGAAGTGCTGAAGAGATTGTGATTTAGTGATGGATCAGAACAAGGGCATATGTTTAAAGACAAAGATGGGAAGAAACACAGATGCTTTGATGAGAAGAGACCTAATTTCTTGAGCTGCTATACTTGTAAAATGCCTGTGTAGAGAGAGGACACGGGAAATCTAGAGTGTTAATCCTTTTCTGCGAAGGCTGTGCATTTGCTTCCCTAGCTGAGATCTATGAATATACATGGCTACTGGTAAGGTGTGTATGGATCAATGTACTCATAGCATAAGGGATTTGTCACTAGATTCTACAGGTCCTTTTTCCCTTTGCAGGAAAAAGAGAAAGATAAGGAGAAGACTAAAGAGAAGGACAAAGATTCCAAGGAGAAAGAAAAAGACAAGAAGATGTTAAATGGACACCTCTTCAGTGCAACCCCTACCGTGGGTCCAGTCAACTGTTACCACTGTATGAAACCTTTCAACAAAGATTCACACCTCTGTGCAAGTAAGTAGTTTTTTCTTTGTGTTCCACTGTTGGTGGAAAGCCTGTCAGCCAGAATCAGGATGCTGGTCATGGAACTTTTGCTTTATTCCCCCTACAAGTTTGAGAATTCTGATCAGGGAGAACCAGATCTGATTAATGCATCAGCCTTTCACGTCAGGTAGCAAGGGTTCAAATATGACTCTCAAGTGAAATGGAGGCTGATTTTCAATCTAGTTCATAGCTGATGTTTGGCCCAGTTTACAGGTATGATGCTGTTCGGTATTGTCATCTGTATCTGTTTAGAGGTAACAGATCAGGACTGTGGTGTATTACTAGTGCTTGGGACTGAGATAAATTATTAAAGCTTTTGGGGGTGATAAGGAAAGCTAGCTTGGATCATGACTGTTTAATTTTCCATTTTAACTTCAGGAAAAAAAAGAACTCTCTCTATCCTATCCCTAGCCTACCTCCTGCTTTAGCTCCAGCAAATACTGATTCGGTGTTCCAGTGAGTTATCAGTGGCAGTAACACAACATTATGAAATTAGAATACACTCACACTTTTCCCCTCGCATATGTGCATGGTGATGATGATGTGTCTCAGATCAAAAGACTGCCATTTTTCTGTGCAAGCTTAGTCGGTTGTAGCAGTTCTATTTAAACAGCTTTCAGACCTGAGTAAATCCTGTGCTTTAAAGGTTAAGAGTAGTTGCCCTACTCGTTGATACATCTTACCATGCATTCAGGTGCTTTTGGTAAGGGGAATTTCCAGGTCCCTGAGATGTGCTTACTTGTTGCTGGTAAGTCAGGTACAAACCTTGCTGGCCAGAAACAAAAACAAAAAACAGGTAGTTTATCTGTTCTCTGCCTAGTAGTAGCTGTTGGCTTAGATCAGGGGTCGACAACCTTTCAGAAGTGGTGTGCTGAGTCTTCATTTATTCACTCTCATTTAAGGTTTTGCATGCCAGTAATACATTTTAACGTTTTTAGGACGACTCTTTCTATAAGTCTATAATATATAACTCAACTATTGTATGTAAAGTAAATAAGGTTTTTAAAATGTTTAAGAAGCTTCATTTAAAATTAAATTAAAATGCAGAGCCCCCGGGACTGGTGGCCAGGACCCGGGCAGTGTGAGTGCCACTGAAAATCAGCTTGCGTGCCGCCTTTGGCACACGTGCCATAGGTTGCCTACCCCTGGCTTAGACTAATGTAGTCTCAAAGGATATGTAAAATATAATGTTGAAAACACTGTATGAACAACAGCTATTTATTGATGCATGCGTAGGGTGAGTATTAGAGGGAAAGGCGTATACGTATAAATGCACTAGTGTTGTGGAATATGTAATCAACACTCTCTAGGTATAATGTAGCTAGGCTTGGCCACATTCGATTTTAATCGATAACTGTCGGTAAATGTCAATTTCAGCTGCCACACTGAAATCAAAGAAAAAAAAAATCTGTGGGTAACAGCATGCCTGCAGGGAGCCCTCTGAGTGAGTAAGTGGGTCCATGACAATAAAGCTCTCCTGCGCTGCCTCAGGGCCAATTACACATGATCCCTGCAGGCGCAAGGTGTGGTAGGGAGGCAAAGTAGATACCCCTGGCCAGGACTGTGAGGAGGAGTCCTCGTCATCCCTGGCTGCGGAGGTAGCCACCCTGCTGTCTCTGCAGCTGGGGACCTGTTCCTCCTCCTCCTTTTTCCAGTCCTGGCTGGGGTTCTCTTTCTGCTGCACCATGATGACCGCAGCATCCCCCGCACCTTGCCACCCCAATGTTTTGGGTCCCTCGGTTGCACAGGGACACCTCTTCAGCCCAATTGCCAGCACTGCCCTTAGCCCAGCCCTACAGCTGTAAAAATAAAAGTAGTTAGAAAAAAATCTTAAAAATTGGGGAGGGGAATCTTAAAACTAAAAATTGATAAAAATTGTCAAAATTAGAAAAAAATCGAATTGTGCCAAACCTAAATGGAGCATAGCCAGCACGTTAGCCACTGGGAGATATGGGCTTCTATTTAAACTCGTTTGATGTTCTTGTTCTAGCCCAGGGGTTGGCAACGTTTGGCACGCGGTTCGCCAGGGTAAGCACCCTAGCGGGCCGGGCCAGTTT